TTTCCCCGTGACACCAGAGGGACACTGAGTGAGCCATGAGGGCCAAGGCCCTGGCAGGAGGAAGGACAAAGGGGCCAGTGTGGAGGACAGAGAGGGAGGAGTGAGCCTCATGGAGGCCTTGTTCCTCATTTTCTGGGGCCTGACATGCTAAGAGACATGAGTGGTAGCAGAACCCAGGGACCAGGACAAGCAAGGGAGGCAGAGAAAGGAACCGAGGGGATGGACCACTAGATTGGGTCCATCTCTTGCAGTCAGGGTAGTTGAGGCTTGGGTCCTGCAAATAGGGATCTCTCTCCACTTCCAACGCTCTTTTGTCATCTTATTTCTTTAAATCACTAGCAATTGCCCCTGGCTGGTCTCCCCAGCTCCCGTTGGTTCCCCAACCCAGCATGCTCCGTGATTTAGGATCAAATAACTGCAGATCGACAAGAAAAAGGGTTTTGACTGAGCACATGGGAAGGATGGAAACAGAAAGGAAGGAGTACCAATCATCTCATCCCTAAATGTCACACCTTTAAAAAACATTCCTACTGGGACTGTTTGGGGCTCATACCTGCCTGGACAAAGACTCACCACGAAGGGTGCTGGGCGGAGAGGTGGGCTCACGCACCTCAGGCCTATGATAGAACTGCCTGCTCTGAACCTCTAAAAGCTCACTACTCAAAAGACCCAGATGCATCAGACCTGGGTTTCATTTCATGTGTTGTCAGGATTCCCAGGCAAAACCCAGAGACTCTTGGCAACTGTCTGATGGGGTTGCTGAAAAGTCTGCTTACCCAACTCTCGCTTGATGCTTCAACACAAGAGCAAAGGGGGTCGTCTGTCCAGATAGACCGCGTTGGGCATGTACACGCGTGGACTGTGAAGGGGGTGTCGGGCCACCCGCCACATCCTCCAAGGGATCACCTGGAAGTCCTCTCTGGAGTCTCCATAAGTAATTCACAGTCTGCTAGGAAAATCCATGATGTGCTTTGCAAACAGAAAGATCCCCATGCTCACTGCCCTCCCTCCATGATTCACCAACATCTATTCCTGCCTCCTGTCCTCTGCACTTGCTGGTTCTTAACCTGGAATATTCTTCTCCCAGGCCTTCTAGAGATGAGCCTCTTCTGGCCGCTCAATTGTCACTTCGTCAGAGACACCTGCCTCCTCCCCACCACCTCCCTCCTCCCCACCACCTCCCTCCTCCCCACCTGACATCTCTTCCATCCTTCTCCCCAAGGGTCTTCCTAAACTTATTGCTCTTTGAAATTACCTATTTAGTTGCTAATTTGTTTATGAGCTGTCTTTCCCACTAGAATATAAACTACTCCAAAGCAGAAATACACAGTTTTTCTTGTTTACAAATGAAACTCCAGGCCTGACACCTTAGGTCCCTGATGGGTATTTGTTGAATGATGGTGGATGAGAATTCGATCCTTAGGTAAACACCGCTTGCAGCCTGGGTGTTGCTATAGAAATCTCTCCTTCCCTAACAAAACTGAAACAATCATGGGCTTATCAAATATTTACTGACACCCAACATACACAGCAACCGGACTACAAAACCTCAGGAGAATAGAGTCTGTGCGTAAACAGACAGACCCAAGAATGGATGTGCCCCAAGAGAGTGGGTCTCTGTTACTGGAGGTGGATTTGTTGGAGTGGGTACCAGGGCAGGTCATATGGCCTAAGAGACTCACCCTGTGCTGGCATCTCACTTCCCAGCAGGGTTCAGCTCTGCTGACAAAGGAGGAAGAAGGAGGAAGAAGAGGTCCCTACCCAGCTCTAACCTCACTATTCTGAAAACTCTGTCCCAGCATCACCCAAAATCTTCAAAAATTCAGAGTCATAAATAAAATTTTTCAATTTCCAAAACACAGTATGGATGAAACCAAACTTGTCTCTAGGTGCCTAGCCTGCTCTGCTTCTTAGGAGATCCCAGGAGGTGTCCCATCACCTCACTGCTCTCCCGCCCCCACCAGGAAAACTCAATTTCCTTTGGGGCCCTAAGAAGCCAGGGAAGCCATCACACACAGGGACCCATCATGGTTCAGAGAATCCCATCCCAGGGCATCTGCTTTTTTCTTTTTTTGCCTTATAAACAGCAGAAATTTATTTCTCACAGTTCTGGAGGCTGGAAGTCTGAGATCAGAGTGCCAACACAGTCAGGTTCTGGTGAGGGCCCAGACTGTGGACTGCCAAATTCTCTCTGTGTTCTCACGTGGTGGAAGGGGGCAAAAGAGCTTTCTTGGGTTTCTTTCATAAGGGGACTAATCCTGTTCATGACCATCACATTACGTGTTAGGATTCCCATGTGTGAATTTTAGGGGGACACAAAGTTCATGCCACATCATTATCAAAATTGTAATTATTCCATCTATGACTATACAAGATTTTATCTAGTATAGAGTTGGTGGACATTTGGGCGATTTCCAGATCCAAGTTATAAGTAAAGATGCGACAAACACTTCTGCACATAACTCTTGTCATGTCTTCATTCCTGTCTGTAGAATTGCTCTGTCACAGGGCAAGATATACTTTCAGTAAGTCTCAGATTTGGCCCACCTAACATCTGTCTTGTTCTTATATAAACACAAGTGTGGGGGATGGGAATGGGGGGAGGGTAGGTAGGAAGAGGCAGTTTGAGATAATATTCTTTTTTATTAATGAATTAATTTTATTCTTTTTGGCTGCAGTGGGTCTTGGTTGCTGCCTGAGTGCTTTCTCTAGTTGCGGCAAGTGGGCTTCTCGTTGTGGTGGCTTCCCTTGTTTCGGACCATGGGATCGAGAGCACGCCTGCTTCAGGAGTTGCAGCGTGCCGGCTCAGTATTTGTGGCTCACTGGCCCTAGACTGCAGGCTCAGTAGTCATGGCCCACAGGCTTAGCTGCTCTGCAGTATGTAGAATCTTCCCAGGGATCAGACATATGGACCAGGGATCAAACCTGTGCCTCCTGCATTGGCAAGCAGATTCTTATCCACAGTACCACCAGGGAAGTCCTGAGATAATATTTTTTTAGTAGATTTTAAGCTCTGACATACAAATAGACAGACGGTTCTTTAAGGTATCTGGAAGGCCAGGTTGAAGATTCCTGTTTTTGCAAAACTATCCTTGATTATTAAGGCCTTTTGTTTTTACTTCAAAATCTCTGTATCTTCTTAACAGAGTCTTTCAAAAAGGAGAAGTCTTTCAAAAAGGCATTTAATTATGCTGAGGTCTAATTCACCAATTCTTCCTTTTTTGGTATTAAATCTAAGAACTCTTCACCCAGGTTTAGGTTCTAAAGATGTCTCCTATTTTTTTTTTCTAAAAGTTCTATAGTTTCACATTTTATATTTGTCCGTGATCTCTTTCAAATTAACGTTTGTATGAACTGGGAGGTTTTGGCTGAGGTTCTTTCTTTTGTGTAGGAACATGCATCTTTTTGCCTATGGATGCTCCCACAACATTTGTTGAAAAGACTATTCTTTCTCAGAGAAACTGAATTGCTTTTGCCCCTTTGTCAATGAAATGTATACAGAAGTAGAAAATAATGTTGCCCATGAAAGATATAATGTTATAAACCAGTGTTACCTCAAATAAAAAAGGTGAGCAGCAAAAAGGATAGCAACAATAACAAAAAATTAGTTGGGGAGAAAATATTTGCAAATCACTTATTCAACAAAGGACTTGTAGTTGGACTGAATAAAGAACTATCAATATTGTAAAAAAAAAAAAACTGTCCACATTAACAGAATTAAGGGGCGAAAAACCACATGCTTTCAGCTGATGCTGAAAAAGTGTATGACAAAATTTAGTGCCCTTTCATGACGAAAAGCAGTCAACAAACTAGGTGAATGGTTAAACAAACTGTGGTACATTTATACCATGAAAAACTACTCAGCAATTTTGAAAAATGAACTACTGATACAACTGGAATGGATTCCAAGGGTATTATGCAGAGTAAAGAAGTCAATCTGTAGAGGCTAAACATTATCTTATTCCATTTATATAGCATTCTTGAAGTAATAAAATTAGAGACAGAGAATAGATTAGCAGTTGCCAGGGGTTTGGGACAGAAGATGGGGAAATTAGAAGGGTAGCCCAAGGGAGCCTGTGGTGATGGAACAATTCTATGTCTTGGTTGGACATGTTCACAAAACTACACATGATAAAACTGCCATGCAGAGAACTAGAGAAGTCTGAAAAAACTCTATGGGTTGTACCAATGTCAATTTCCAATTTTGTTACTGGGCTATACTTAGGGCATCTGCATTTTTAAAGGCCATTTTTCTCTCCTCTTAAAAGCTATGCTTACCTTGAACTGAAGAAATTAATCTCTAGTCCTTAGTGCTGACCAAACCAAATAGGTAATAAAGATGAAATATTCTGAAGCAGAGAAACCCAGCCAGGAGGGGCCTCTCTCATCCTTAACGTGAGGGTAGACATCTTGGCCCCCTTTGGAGAGGAGGACCCAGGAGTCAGCTGGGAATCTCCTCCCCCACCTCGGGATTCACTCGTGCTGGAGCTGGAAGTCAGGTCCCTTAGAAACAGGTCCGAAGCCCAGGGTTTCCTATGTCATGGCAGAAATGCTCAGAGAACATGGTGTGGCCACCCTGGACATAGATGCTCCTGCATGTCACCACTGGCAACACCTTCTCTGGACATCCAGGCACACTGCTTATAGCCGAGGACCATGTTCTGCTGGATACACCCATGGCACAGGAAGGGTTTCAAAACCCAGTGATCCAAAGGCAGAAAATGCTGCAATGACCACCTCCCAGGCTACACGTGAATCCTCAAGAGGGACCCAGGGTCTGCACAGATGCTGCCCGAGGAAACCTAGAGCAAAGGTGGTTTCACCAAAGAAGTGGAGCCTCGCAGATGTCTCCACCCACTGGGCTTCCCTTCCCATCTGCCCCGCTGCAACCAAAACCCCGAGGCGCTGACGATGAAGACCTGCACCCAGCCTCCACTGTGGGCTGATGGAGAAAGGGCGCCTCCTCGCAGCCCAGGAGCCCCTCCCTGACTGGCGCTTACCTCCAGCGGGACCACCTGCATCAGGATAGCAAAGTTGGTGAGGTGCGTGCAGCGGCAGATGGAATAGCTGAGGTTCCCCTCCGTGAGCGCACAGCCCTGGTTCGACCAGATGCCTTCTCCGGAACTGAGACACAGAAGGAAAGGTCAGTGGGAAGCTACCGCCCAGCCTTGCCCCGGGGGCTGAGAAACTGTTCCCACTCATCAGGCTGATGACTCAGATGTGTCTTGTTGATTGGGCCACAAGGAAACAAGTACCTGTTTCCTTCTGGGAGGGGAAAGCTGTATACCCACATTGACACAATCACTTTGGAAAACATCTGGTCTGATATCCAATAAACATGAAGTGTCTCTCGGCCACCTGAAGGTCTGTTTTGGAGAAATGTCTACGCAGGTCTTGTGCCATTTTTTCGATTGTGTTGTGTTTGTCTGTTTCTGTTACTGAGTTGTATGAATGGTCTGTATATTTTGGATATTAACCCCTGTCGGTCACATCATTTGCAAATATCTTCTCTCATTCCGTGGTTGTCTTTTCTTTTTGCTTATAGTTTCCTTTGTTGGGCATGTACTCAAACAAAACTCTAATTTGAAAAGATACATGCGCCCCAATGTTCACGGCAGCACCATTTACAATAACTAAGACATGGGAACAACCTAAATGTCCGCTGACAGATAAATGGATAAAGAAGATGTGGTGCATGTACACAATGGGATATTACTCAGCCATTGAAAAGAATGAAATAACGCCATTTGCAGCAACGTGGATGAGCCTAGAGATGATCACACTAAAGAAGTCAGACAAATACCATATGTCACTTACATGTGGAATCTAAAATATGATACAAATGAAGGTACCTGAGAAACAGAAAGGACTTACAGACACAATGCAAAATGGATAGACAAGGTCCTACCATATAGCACAGGGAGCTATATTCAATATCCTGTGATGAACCATAATGGAAAAGAATGTGAAAAAGAATGTATATGTATATGTAACTGAGTCACTTTGCTGTACAGAATAAATTAATGCAACATTGTAAATCAACTATACTTCAGTAAAGGTTTCATAAAAATGGAGTGTGTGGGTCCTGCAACCCAGCAATCGCACCTAGAGAATTCTGAGCCATGAGCACAGGGACACGTCTGGGGTATTTACTGAATGATGGGTGATATTAGAGGACACTTAAAAGTTACCTAAGGTCCACCGCCCTGGTGTTCAGACAGTAAAGAATCTGCCTGCAATGCAAGAGACTTGGGTTTGATCCCTGGGTCAGGAAGATCCCTTGGAGAAGGGAATGGCTACCCAATCCAGTAATCTTGCCTGGAGAATCCCATGGACAGAGGAGCCTGGCAGGCTACAGTCCATGGGGTTGCAAAGAGTTGGACACAATTGAGCGACTAACACTTTCACACTAATGTCCCCCTCAGGGACCTGGATAATGCATAAACACTAGTAAAAAGCAACATGTATTCATATGGATAAAACACACAAACATAACATCCAATGTTGAATGCATAATAATGAAGCAAGGGCATGATACAAAAGAAGATCAAATATTTTCTATGAATATAACTACACACTATACATAAGTTATTCAGAAAACTCCCCACAGAGAGGGCAAAAGACTAGGATAAGATGTAAACATCTTTTACATGTTTGTTTTTCTTTATAATGTTCTAATTCTTTAAACAATAACATTTTGACATGTTACTTGCATCATTTCTTCAAGTACAAACCAAGACAAAAATTACTTGAAGCAAGGGTGCTCAAATGTTAACTGTGGTTCATTCTTGCAGTGGGAATATTAGCAATTACAATTTTCTTCTCTGTACCACTCTATATTTTCAAATCCAAAAAGAGAGAGAGAGAGAGAGAGAGAGAGAGATGTTTAAATGGTTCTTCCCAGAAACTGCAACTCTCAGTGATCAGCAAAGACAAATCTTTGCTTTGGCCAAAGGCAGGGCCCTTAGGGAAGGCTTTTATAAAGCTGAAGCAGTTTAAAGACTCTAGTTTCGCTTTGCTTTATGTCCAGTTTTCATGACAACATCAGCCGTGGATGAGGAATGCGGCCGTCCCAGAGGGTGATGGATAAAGACAGTCCTGCCTGCTCCTGCTCATGCCCAGTGAACGAAACACACACGGACAGCATCTTATTTTCAACCCTGAGGCAGATGTTGTCCCCAGGAGGATGCTGTGATCGTAACTCTGGGTGAGCCTTGGGCAGCAGGCAACCTGAGGGCAGGTGGGGTTGAAAGGGTCATCGGGCAGGGACTCGGGGTGGTGCTGAGCCTGATGACATGGGAACAGGGGCTTTGGAGGTGAGCTTCATGACAAGTGAGGTGGGGGCATTTAGCACAGACCAGACAGCATAGCCAGGACCAATGGAACCTATCAGTTTAGAGCCGACACCCCCGATAAGGTCAGAATAAAAGGGCCTTAGAGATGGGCAGGCCTACCATGCCACCTGTTAGGGCTAACTGGCTCCCGTTCCTCGAGGAAAGCCGCTGCTGGGCTGTATGTGACCTTTGTCTGCTGAATATGTGAATGCCATACTTGAATTAGAGGGTGACCAGAAAACTAGCAGGCACAGAATTTGGGGAGCGTGATCACAGGGGTGCAAAGTGCACCTGCACTGACGCCAAGAGTGACGATGAATTAAAAACCAACCATAAAAGTCACATTTTCCTAAACAGAGTCATGAAGGCGTGACGATGTCCCCATTAGCCAGGGGACGTGAGCCCCGTGTAGTGTCACTTCTGCCTGCGTGTAAAGAGCTGCATCCCAGGGGGTCCATGGAAAGAAGAAGCCTCGCTCCCCAGCTTGTGCATCCATAAACCTGCCACGGAAGCCAGGCCAAGCGATGTCAAGTAACAGGAAAATACGTGTCTCTCCCTGTGACCGAGGAAGTTGGCATCTGAGCAGAAAACCATTCACCCACTTGCATAAATGGAATGTGTATATATAAATATGAAAATGCTACATATTATGTGTATTCTGGAGATGTGGGCAGAACACACACAAGAAAGGATGGTGGAGTAATGCAAGAAACATGTAACTAAACAACCATATATTTCCTGGGAACATAAATATAAAACATGCATAAGTTACTGAAAAATACACACAAAAATCTCCCCACTGTGTTACTGCAGGCTCTAGGAAAGGAAATCAGGATAAGATCTAAAGGTCCAACAGGACATGTGCTTTTTAAAATAATGTTTTATTTTTAAAAAGAATAATGCTTTAATATATTGCTGCTATCATTTGTTAAAGTGTAAGTCTAGGGAAAAAACGACCTAGAATTCTAAGCTCAATGAGACCATCTTTCAAAAATAAAAGTGCATGTTCTCAGAAAAATAAGAACAGGACTTGCTGCCAGCAGACTCGCACTATAAGAAGAGTTACAGGAACATACCAGACAGAAAGTGTGTTCTACACAAAGAAATAAAATAGCTGGAGATTGAAAACATGAAGGGAAATTATTATGTTTTCAATATTTATTTTTATTTATTTATTTGACTGCTCTGGGTCTTAGTTGCAGCATGTGGGATCTAGTCCTCTGACCGGGGATTGAACCTGTAGCCCCTGCACTGGGAGCTCAGAGTCTTAGCTCCTAGATCACCAGGGAAGTCCCCGAAATTATTAGTTTCTTAATTTAAATTTCTTTAGAAGACAATGAATTACCTAGAGCAACAATACTCCCCACATACTGTACATTTACGACATCTGTAAAGATAAAATGTATAATAAGAATAGTGCTAATTACGGGCAAGAAGTGTTATGAAATGATCTTTGTATTGTCTCTGAGTACATGTAAGGTGGTATAATATTATTGGCGGGTAGACACAGATGAATTAAAGATATATATTCTAAGCTCCCTAGGGCAACCACTACAAAAAAATTAAAAGGAAGTAGACACCAGGAGTCAATAGCAGAGAAAAAATGGCATCAAAAATACGCAGGAAAAATCCAAATGGAGTAAGAAAAGGAGAATATAAGAAGCAAAAAACAATAAAAGTAGATCATAATCTGGTCGGGTGTGTGACCGAGCACGGACATCCTGGCCACCTCCCTCCCTATTCTCCCCACTCCCTCCGTCCCCTTCTCTGCCCCCTCCTGATCTGGGGACCCTCCCACACAGATGGTACCTGAAGTCCAGGAAGGCACAATACAGGAAGATTCGGTTGCTCTCATTGGTGGCCTCAATGTACTGCCTTTGAGTCTGAAATGAGAGGATGGACACACCTCATGATACAGCCAAGAAGACAAGCTGCCAACACTGATGTGAGAGCCAAACCCTCGCGGCCCCAAGACCCCAGGTTATGGACACGCAAGGCCCGGTGGGCAGAGAAGGCGGGTCACCCAGCCCCATCTCTCACATGGCGCTCCTCTGCCCACAAACCAGGGCTCCTGCCTCAGGTCCCTTGCACTTGCTGGGCCCTTCTGCTAGAAAGCGCTTCCCCCAAGACTACCCTCCCTGCCTTCAGGAGACCCACCTGCCCATTCAAATCAATTTCAACCTACCCCTTCCTCTTACTGCATTTTTCTTTTCTTTTTTTTTTTCATGAGCTAAAGCTTTTCTTCTATGCATTTTATTTATTTTTTTGTCATTTATCTTTATTAGTTGAAGGCTAATTACTTTACAATATTGTAGTGGTTTTTGTCATACATTGACATGAATCAACCATGGATTTACATGTATTCCCCATCCCGATCCCCCCTCCCACCTCCCTCTCTTCCCGATCCCTCTGGGTCTTCCCAGTGCACCAGGCCCAAGCACTTGTCTCACGCATTTTTCATAGTACTGATCTCCATGCAGCATGTTACGTATTTACTTCCTTCCTTGTTTGCTGGCTTCCTCTCTAGAACATGCCCACAGAGAACCTGTGTTTGTCTCATTTCCTCATATCCCCTGTGCCTACCCTAGTGTCTGGCACACAGCAGGTGCTTACTAAATACTTACTGAACCAAAGAACAAGTGAACAGATCCATCAACAACCCTGTTCCTAGGATTCTCACTCCCCCAGGCTATTCCTGGATGCCAACTCGGGGTATCTAGTATCAGCTGCTCCGCCCTCAGCAACACACAGAGGCTGCTCCAAGACTCTTGCCAGGGAGCTCAGGAAGCCACAGCTTCATAGGAAACCAGAATAAATGGTATCTAATCAATTCCCAGTCGATAAATCAAGAACCAGAAATCAAATAGCCAACATCTGTTGGACTGTAGAAAAAACAAGAGAATCCCAGAAGAACATCTACTTCTGCTTCATTGACTATGCTAAAGGCTTTGACTGTGTGGATCACAACAAACTGTGGAAAATTCTTCAACAGATGGGAATACCAGACAACCTTACCTGCCTCCTGAGAAACCTGTATGCAGGTCAAGAAGCAACAGTCAGAACCAGACATGAAACAACAGACTGGTTCAAAATTTTGAAAAGAGTACATCATGGCTGTATATTGTCACCTGTTTATTTAACTCATATGCAGAGTACATCATGCGAAATACTGGGCTGGATGAAGCACAAGCTGGAATCAAGATTGCAGGAAGAAATATTAACAACCTCAGATATGCAGATGACACCACCCTTATGGCAGAAAGTGAAGAGGAAATAAAGAACCACTTGATGAAAGTGAAAGAGGAGAGTGAAAAAGCTGATTTAAAACTCAACATTCAAAAAACGAAGATCATGACATCTGGTCCCATCACTTCATGGCAAATAGATGGGGAAACAATGGAAACAGTGAGAGGCTTTATTTTCTTGGGCTCCAAAATCGCTGCAGATGGTGACTGCAGCCATGAAATTAAAAGACACTTGCTTCTTAGAAGAAAAGCTATGACAAACCTAGACAACATATTAAAAAGCAGAGACATTACTTTGCTAACAAAGGTCCATATAATCAAAGTTATGGCTTTTCCAGTAGTCATGTATGAATGTGATAGTTGGACCATAAAGAAGGCTGAGTGCCGAAGAATTGATGTTTTTGAACTGTGATGTTGGAGAAGACTCTTGAGAGCCCCTTGGACTGCAAGGGGATCAAACCAGTCAATTCTAAAGGAAATAAATCCTGAATATTCACTGGAAGGACTGATGCCGAAGCTCTAAAGCTTTGGCCACCAGATGCGAAGAGCTGACTCATTAGAAAAGACCTTGATGCTGGGAACGATTGACAGCAAGAGGAGAAAGGGACAAAGAGGACAAGATGGTTGGATGGCATCACCAACTCAATAACCATGAGTTTGAGCAACCTCTGGGAGATGGTAAAGGACAAGGAAGCCTGGACTGCTGCAGTCCATGGGGTTGCAAAGAGTTGGACATGACTGAGTGACTGAATAACAACAACAAAGTGAATATGACAAAAAAGAGACAGACTCACAGATGAAGAGAACAAGTTTAGTGATCACCAGTGGGTAAAGGAAAGGGAGGAGGGGCAATTGGCTTAAAACTGAACATTTGAAAAATACGATCATGGCATCCGGTCCCATCACCTCATGGCAAACAGAAGGAGAAAAAGTGGAAACAGTGACAGATTTTATTTTCTAGGGCTCCAAAATCAGTGTGGACGATGACGATGGCTGCAGCCATGAAATTAGAAGACACTTACTCCTTGGAAGGAAAGCTATGACAAACCTAGACAATGTATTAAAAAGCAAAGGTATCACTTTGCTAACAAAGGTTCATATAGTGAAAGCCATAGTTTTTCCAGTAGTCATGTACAGATGTGAGAGTTGGACTATAAAGTAGGCCGAGCACCAAAGAATAAATGCCTTCAAACTATGGTGCTGAAGAAGACTCTCAAGAGTCCCTTGGATGGCAAGGAGATCAAACCAGGCAATCTTAAAGGAAATCAACTCTGAATATTCATTGGAAGGACTGATGCTGAAGCTGAGGCTCCAATACTTTGGCCGCCTGTGGCAAAGAGCTGACTCATTGGAAAAGAGCCTGATGATGGGAAAGTCTGCAGGCAAAAGGAGAAGAGGGCAGTATAGGATGAAATGGTTACAGTATCACTTACTTAATGGACATGAATTTGAGCAAACTCTGGGAGATGGTGAAGGACAGGGAAGCCTGGCATGCTGCAGTCCATGAGGCGGCAGAGAGTTGAACATGACTTAGTGACTGAACAACAACTTAACGTGAATAAAATAAGCTACAAGGAGAAAAAAAAATTTTTTAAGACAAAAAATAAAATAAAATAATAAATAAAAATAAAATAAGCTACAAGGATGGGCTTTCCAGGTGGCACTAGTGGTAAAGAATCTGCCTGCTAATGCAGGAGACACAAGAAATGCAGGTTTGATCCCTGGGTCAGGAAGACCCGTGGAGTAGAAAATGGCAACCTGCTCCAGTATTCTTGCCTGGAAAATTCCACAGACAGAGAAGCCGGGTGGGCTACAGTCCATGAGGTCACAAAGAGTCGGACATGACTGAGCAACTAACACACAAACACAATCTACAAGGATAAACTGTACAGCACAGGGAACAGAGCCAATATTTTATAATAACTGTAAATGGAGTATAACCTTTAAAAAAAAATAAAAGAGTGTGGTCCCCACAGCAGCCTCAGCATCCCGGGGCCCTACCACAGAATCGAAAACTCTGGGTTTTCACAAGTCCTTCAGATTCTCACACGAACTTGAGAACCACTAAAAGCTAGCAAGAGGCTTCCTCTTCTGTCCCCTCCTCCTGTCTCAGTCTGCCGTGGCCTTTGTGCTCAGACACAGACAGCCCTGTGGCTGCAGCCATTCAGAACCACAGAAGGTGGGGAAATGACAACATGTGAAGTCGATATACAAATAAAGTCGAAAATACAAATAAGAACCTGGTGGTGAGCCCCACTCAGTATCAGCAAAGCTTCCTTGACCCTGAGTAACATCAGACCTCCTCAGGACACCACTACGTACTCTTCCCCGCTTCCCTTTCCCCGCTGGCGATCACTAGTTTGTTCTCTATATCTGTGAGTCTGCTTCTCTTTTGTTATATTCACTAGTTTGTTGTATTCTTTTAGGTTCCACCTGTAAGTGATATCACACAGTATTTGTCTTCCTCTGTCTGACTTATTCCACTTAGCATCATGCCCTCCATCCATGTTGCTGCAGATGGCAAAATTTCATTCTTTTTTATGGCCTAGTAAGTATTCCAAAGATCTTCACGACCCAGATAATCACGATGGTGTGATCACTCACCTACAGCCAGACATCCTGGAATGTGAAGTCAAGTGGGCCTTAGGAAGCATCACTATGAACAAAGCTAGTGAAGGTGATGGAATTCCAGTTGAGCTATTTCAAATGCTAAAAGATGATGCTGTGAAAGTGCTGCACTCAATATGTCAGCAGATTTGGAAAACTCAGCAGTGGCCACAGGACTGGAAAAGGTCAGTTTTCATTTCAATCCCAAAGAAAGGCAATGCCAAAGAATGCTCAAACTACAACACAATTGCACTCATCTCACATGCTAGTAAAGTAATGCTCAAAATTCTCCAAGTCAGGCTTCAGCAATATGTGAACCGAGAATTTCCAGATGTTCAAGCTGGTTTTAGAAAAGGCAGAGGAACCAGAGACCAAATTACCAACATCCATTGGATCATCAAAAAGGCAAAAGAGTTCCAGAAGAACACCTATTTCTGCTTTATTGACTATGCCAAAGCCTTTGACTGTGTGGATCACAATAAACTGTGGAAAATTCTGAAAGAGATGGGAATACCAGACTACCTGACCTGCCTCTTGAGAAACCTGTATCAGGTCAGGAAGCAACAGTTAGAACTGGACATGGAACAACAGACTGGTTCCAAATAGGAAAAGGAGTACGTCAAGGCTATATATTGTCACCCTGCTTATTTAACTTATATGCAGAGTACATTATGAGAAACGCTGGGCTGGATGAAGCACAAGCTGGAATCAAGACTGCTGGGAGAAATATCAATAACCTCAGATATACAGATGACACCACCCTTATGGCAGAAAGTGAAGAGGAACTAAAGAGCCTCTTGATGAAAGTGAAAGAGGAGAGTGAAAAAGTTGGCTTAAAGCTCAACATTCAGAAAATTAAGATCATGGCATCAGATCCCATCACTTCATGGCAAATAGATGGAGAAACAGTGGAAACAATGGCTGACTTTATTTTTGGGGGCTCCACAATCACTGCAGATGGTGACTGCAGCCATGAAATTAAAAGACGCTTACTCCTTGGAAGGAAAGTTATGACCAACCTAGACAGCATA